AATGTACATTTGGTTGGTTTAGTGGTTAACATTATGCATAATGAAAACATCAGTCTAAGTTCAAATTCAACCCAATGTTGTTGCATTCATTTTACACTAATATCTTTGGGTGAAAAGGCATGAAACACTTTTTTTTTCATAGTTAAAATAGTAGGATAGAAAGGAATCCCTTGTCAGGTTAAAGTAATCATTTTCAGAGAAGAATAACTTTGAATTCAAATCCATGGAGATGTCAATAGGAGACTATTCCGTTATCTTATTCTAGAACAGACATGGCAATCTGCAATTTCTGAGATATTAAAGATAAAAAGTAAATTGTAGAGAGCCATGATCATCTACATCCTGATGGGACATTTTCATTTTCTTAAGTGTCCTCACAATTTTTATTAATCCTTTATTATCTTAATGGGATACATAGGAAAAATATATAGAAAATGTATATTAATAATTAATAATCCCAGTTATTAATGTAATCCTAGTTGTTTGTGACATAAATAAAAACAAATTGAATCTAAAAGTTGTGTTCATTGAAATCATTAATATAAAAACACTTTGGATCTAAAGTGTACTACTTACTGAAGGTCTCATGATGTTATTAGTATAAAAAAACATATTGTGTATAAAGAGTAGGACTTATTGAAGGTCTCATGATGTTATTAGTATAAAAAAACATATTGTGTATAAAGAGTAGGACTTATTGAAGGTCTCATGAACTTATTGATATAAAAGTGCATTAGAACTAAAGATTGGTTCTTATTAAGGATTTTATGATATTTTGATTATGCAGAAGTTCTTATATATCTTGCTGCACAGACCTGCATGCTGTTCTTGGTTGTTATAGTGAAAACATTTTGGAAATTTTACCCTCTAACCTTCTTCTGGTATGTTTTTATATATGATAATCTTCCTGGAATTTCAAACCAAATCATTTATGCAATCCATGGAGGTAGATCATTCTCATTGCTCATTCCATGTTTAGATAAATCATATCCCTTAATAGTTAACACTCTTATTCACCTTTGAGTCACTTGTCCATTTCTGCCACTGAATCAGAGTATATAACTTTTCACCACTACCAGACACATAGATTGAACTCACAACTACCAAGGAACAAAATAACTTTTAATCAATACTTTGATCCACTTCCAAATTAGGTGAGGAGTTTCCTGAATCAAGTGACAGAGTTTTTCTGAGAGTCTTTTCTTTCTTGGTAGTTGTGGGTTCAATCCTTAGGTCTGGCAGTACTGAAAATCATATAGTCTGATTCAGTGATAGAACCAAAAAAATGATTCAAAGGTGAATAATATTGGTGATTATTAACTGATATGAAATATCACCTCAGTATAGAGAATGGAATGAGATCATGACTCTCCACACATTGCTTTTCTTTATTACCTGTGAATTGCTATGATTTCTTGAAAAAAGAGTGTAATGGCCTTATCTATAGTTTGGATTTTAGAGTAGTTCCATTCTTAGATTGACTGTCATGCAGGCCTAGAAATCCTAGTGTATCCTGCTATTTAATTCATGTCTTTCTGAAAGATATCAGTGGAGCAGTGAACACAACTGACTCGTGAATATTACTGCTAATATTACTAGAATAAAAACACTAACAAATAAGGTATAAAGAGAGAATAAGAAAGGATTGCTATCAATAAACAGTAGCTAAAAATTAGGATGTATTTTTATTATTGTTTAGAATTCAAATGTTCGGATTTTTAATATAAAATACCTAGATGACTGAATGGTATCTAACATTAGATTATTAAATAATTGTATCTTATTTTTTGGACATCCTTGCAACTTGCAAAAAAATAAAAATGGAAAGTAAAATTTTACAGATGTAATTTTTGAACATATCTGAAATTGAACTTTTTGTTTTCTATTATTTTATTTATTCCATAATAATAATAATAATAATAATAATAATAATAATAATAAAGCATGAGCAATCATTGATATTTTCCCACTTCTTGATGTCCATGTCCATCATCCTCATGTCACTTTTGAAGACAGAGCAAAGATATGGTTACCTTCATATCCTCTTGCCAGTGGTCAGTTCCCCATACAGAAGGACATTCAGAATCCTCCCATCAGTAAACTGTTACTTCCTATATTTTTCCTATTTTTTGATGTTCTTCTGTCAAGGTTCAAATCCTGCGAGAGTGTACATATTTTTCTTTAATAAGATTTCTCAAATATTCATACTGGCAGATGAAAGTAAATAAATATACTGCTTAATAAATAAATGGAGTGGCTACTAAAATATGGGCATCAACTAAAAATAACATTTAAGTAATAAGATATGTTGGATTAATAAATAAAAATCCATCAATTCTTATTACTTAAATGTTATTTTTAGTTGATGCCCATATTTCAGGAGCCACTCCATTTTATATATATATATATATATATATATATATATGTTATAAAATAAAATGACATATCTCGGCTGATTTACAGGCAAATACTCAAGAGAGAGAACCGGATGTGAACGGGACAAAGCTCCGTCACAAAATGACCATTAACTTTCTTTACAAATGTTTCCGACACACGTGTTCCAGTCAAAAAATAAAATAATAATTAAAGCGCTCTATTTTTCGTCCAATAAAAATGCTTCCCTCCTAATTATACTTGAAGTTCAGCAGCTGTCAACAGGTGGCCACAAGGGAGACCGGTCACGTTTAGCAGCTGTCAGCAGGAGAGCGTCAACCACCGTCAACATGTGTGAACTACTATGAGAGATCGACCTAGATCTGAAAGCCGGCTTATGAACTTTACCACACCAAGGTAGATGTCCTAAACCCTTATGTTCCTGTTGAAATAAACCATGTAAATCTATTTCTACTGTTGTCATATTTCTTTCTTGCAACCATACGCTTGTCTATAACATATATATATATATATAGCAATAAAAAAGGTTAGACTTATTTTACTTTTCATGATTAAAAAGAAAAGCAAAAAATAAAACCGACACAGCTGGATTGAGGGATTATATATTGCAATAGAAATAAAACATAAAAATGATATGTAATCTTGAGTCATGCTTGCTCTATATTGTAGATAAATGTTTTGGAAACAATTTATGTTCAGTCCAGTCAGCCCACCCTCTGTTTACAGAGGGTGTGTCTGTTAGGACTTAAGATAATTTAAATATTTAAATTGTACTCCAACTTCATTAATATTACATATCATTTTTATGTTTTATGGCAATATATAATCCCTCAACCCAGCTCTGTTGAGTGAGGGTGAAACTGGTTGGCTGTGTTTGTTTTATTTTTCACTTTTTTTTAATCATAAAAAGTAAAATAAATCTAACATTTTTATTGCTATAATAAAATTCTGTACCCCACAGAAAATTATGAAATATATATATATATATATATATATATATATATATATATTCATGAATCATTCATACAAAAAAAAACAAATATAGATGTTAATGATTTAATTTTTTGCATGAATGATTCATGAATTTATAAATTAAAATTAAACCTAAAATTGATATATATATATATATATATATATATATATATATATATATATATATATATATATATATATGTTGCATCAGTGCACATGTGCAAATGGACACAGGAACACATACAGTATTAAAAAATCTTGCACCAATTAAAAGTAAATATAAAAAGGAAAATTGATAAGTATAAGCAGTCAATTTCTGATACCCACTGATGAGTGGATAGAGTAATTCCTGGAGGGTCCATCTATGAAACTCTGAAGTTGGGATGTTGAAGGTAAACCGTCTACTTGTATTAATCTCTCTCTCTCTCTCTCTCTCTCTCTCTCTCTATATATATATATATATATATATATATATATATATATATATATATATATGTTCAAGAATATTGCTCTATGGACAAGGTATTGAGCATTTTCTACAGTCTACTGGAATTAGTTAAGTTTTGGGTAGACTTTATGCTGTAGTTGATTTATACAAGAAGAAATTTTATATATACATGTCATTTGTTGGGATTCTGTACCCTATTTTAAAAACATATATACATATAATCTATATGCATTGTTAATGATTTTACTATAGAAATGCACTAAAAATCAGGAAGAAATTTATTGTCTGTGGTCTGGAACTAATGAAAGAATTGCTGATAAAATCTATTGTGTGTTTCATATCTATTTTGACGTCTTTAGTGGAGATGAAATTACTTAAAAATAATTATTCTTTCACAATTTAATATCTGAGTTAATTATGCATTGCTTTAATTATTTCTAAATATTTTCTTGCACTGAAATTCTTTGTATCTGTAATTTTCATCAACTTGTAGTGATACAGAAGGCAATTATCTCTCTTTGGTGGAGATAAGTCACATGTGACAAGAGTGGCAGCCAGCTTCAGTTTGTTCACAGCAGCCAAACTAAGCATTTGCTTTTTTTAGCCTGGGCCAACATTTTGTGTATGTCTTAGTAGTATAAAAGTCTCTCTGAGAACAAACCATATTTGTCATTCTTTTTCTTTTCAGCCATTCTGTTCCATCTGTGAAATATTGTGTTATTATATCATGGATATAATAATGCCCATAATGGGAAAATAGAAATAGGAAAATAAATCTTTCATTCTAAGCTCTATCCCGTTACAGAATGTCTCCATCAGTATGATTAACCTCAGATGGCCAACCCCTTTTACTCTAAGCCTCACTGTGAAACTTTTTGGTAGAAAGGATTTGAAAAGTAATCATCTGAATGAGAAGCTGGTTCTTAGTGATTAGTCAATGGCCTAATAAAAAGTGAAATGAAAGAAAATTCTTTTGTTTTCTCTTGGCAGAATATCAAATTATTCAAAGAGAAAACAAGTAATTTCAATTAAAGCAAAACAAACTCATGTTTTTGAATAATGTAGGTATAAAATGTGGGTTAGATCAGAAGATAAGGATACTCCAGGGTATAAAAGAGTAGGAAGAGTGAAAAAGAATGCTGTCAAACTGATTAAAGTGTTATAAGGTCATGTTTTGTTCTGATACTATGAGTGTCTGAAAGGTCTGGAGTTAGATGGTTGAGAAAAAAGAGATAGATAGATAGATAGATAGATAGATAGATAGATAGATAGATAGATAGATAGATAGATAGATAGATAGACTGAGATAAATAAATAGATATGAATAGACTGAGATAGATAGACTGAGATAAATAAATAGATATGAATAGACTGAGATAGATAGACTGAGATAAATAAATAGATATGAATAGACTGAGATAGATAGATAGATAGATAGACTGAGATAAATAAATAGATATGAATAGACTGAGATAGATAGACTGAGATAAATAAATAGATATGAATAGACTGAGATAGATAGATAGATAGATAGATAGATAGATAGACTGAGATAAATAAATAGATATGAATAGACTGAGATAGATAGACTGAGATAAATAAATAGATATGAATAGACTGAGATAGATAGACTGAGATAAATAAATAGATATGAATAGACTGAGATAGATAGATAGATAGATAAAAACAGGAGGATGCTCTCAAACTGATTAAAGTATTGTAAAATCATGTTTAGTTGTGATGCTATAAGTGTCTAATAAGTCTGGAGTTAGCTCGAGAAGGAAAGAGACAGAAAAAACATATACACAAAAAGAGACATAGAAACAAAAAGAAACAAATAGGGAAAGTTAGAGAAAGAGAAACAGTGAGAAAGAGACAGTGAAAGGATAAGACAGAGACAAAGAAAGAGAAACAGAAAGATAAAGAGAGTGATATTGATTAATTATTCTTTAAAATTTGAAATATTTAATCATTGTATGTGAGTACTTCACCCACACAATTAACTTGATCAGCAGACCAAGTATAGACATTAATAGCCTAACAGAAGAACAAGTGATCAATTGGAGATTTCATAAGCTTAAGTGATGAGAGTGCAGTAGGAGGACACGGATGCAAATAATAGGTGTACCCTGTATGAGAAGCAATACCCATTCTAGAACACATCAGACAACTGAGAAAGAGAACAAGGTATATGTTCAAAACATAGTGAAAAAAAAATGAAGAAAAGACAAGAAAATCAATCTTAAGCAGCTATATCCAACAATTGGTTAATTTTGTGAAATGTAGTGTTCTTTCTCATTAAAGATAAACAGTGTACAAAGGGATGTTGAAAAGTTCTTGGACCTATTTCCTAAAATCTGAATGAAAGATCAAACATTAGAAAGTTTGGGGGAGAAGAGACCAAAATTTTTCAGTAGTCCCTCATATATAATAATATAGCTATTCTAACTTTATTTGGATGAAAGAATAGGATCTTTTCAATTTTAGAATAATAGAGTAATCCTAATTTGAAGATGAAAATATTGATAAGAGAGTCTTTCTGTTGAAGAACTTAAAAGTTCTTACTTATTATTATAGTATTATTAAGATAGATGAAAATTTCATTGAAACAAAGAAAAGAATACTGAACTGTTATGTATTATCAGTCCTTCAAAGCTGGACAATCTCCTCACTGATGAAGAAGAGATTTGGGATAATAGAAATGTGGTTCTACAGAAGGATACTGAGAATACCATGGATTGAACATGTGAACAATGACAAAGTTTTAGAGAAAATAGAAACAAAAAGGATACTTAAACAATATAAAAATAAAAAAATACCAAAATTTTCTTTTCTCCTGATGAAGCTTAAATAAATGCAAAACAAGTTAAACTTATAAATGTTTTGTATTTGTTCATTATCCTAGTGCGCGCACACACACACACGATTGAAAGTAACTCCCTATTTTATGTATTAAGTGGCCAGCCATTAGTCCTGACTTAACACCCTGTGACTTTTTTCTTTGGGGGTTGATTAAATGAGCAAGTCTACTACACCAAACTAAGACTTTGGAAGAAGTTCAAGGTTGAATACAAGGAGTTATGTTTTCAATATCATAAGAATTGCTGGTGAAATCAGTTGATGTGAATACTGGACACCTTGAGAAGCTGGTAGCAAAATCTGGTCCCCACATCGAATAAAACCTCATGCTATATGCTTTCCTCTCATATGTATTCCTTGTGAAAGTTATAGCATTTTAAAATGGGGAGTTACATTATAATCACCCTGGATATATATATATATATATATATATATATATATATTATTTTAATATATTTTCTGTTTATAGGTTATTTTTATATATACAATATTTAAGTAAATGCTCTGTTTTTATAATAAACAGTATTAACTACATTTACTGGCCTGAGTGTCTGAGAAATTTCATAGAAAATATGTGTCCTCCAACAGTAATTTGACTTTGTGAACAAGATGCTTCCTCTGTAGCAAAATGGTATAGCACATCAGGCTATATGATGGTTCTGTGTAGGAGACAGGTTTGATTCCTTGAGGAGGACACATATTTTCTGTGAAATTTCTTGGACATTCAGGCTGGTAAAGGTTGTTAATACTGTTTATTATAAACAGAGCATTTACTTAAATATTTTTATTTATAAAAATAATGTATAAAAAAGAATATATATATATATATATATATATATATATATATATATATATATATATATATATACGATATATATACGATATATACGATATAACAATATATAATTTTGTATAAGTTTATATATCAACACACAATATTTAAAAAAATATGACAAACTGGTAAGATTTTTTGTGAAATGCATCACAAAAAAAACTTTCCAGTTTGTCATATATATATATATATATATATATATGAAAATCAGGTTTTTAAAATTTTCCTGTTAATGTTTTGCACTGTACAAGCATTCTCAAAACAACTGTAAAAATTCTAAGGAAAAATAATTTATTAAACTGTACTACTAGAAACATTGTGGTTAATTTGAAAAATTTAAACAGCAATTTTTTTTAAAATAAATAGTTGTGAATAAATTTACTAACCATGGTATTTATACATAACAGGGTTGGCATGGTATCTATTTGTTTCATAGATTTTTACAGCTGTTTTGAAAATGCTCACTAAGAGCAAAACGTCAACAAGAAAATGGAAAAAAAATTAAACATCCAACTGCTTTTCATGTATCCTACTTACATACTTTGTTCAATGATTTCATATCAGTCATTTATCATATTTACTTATATACCTATTACTCTGTTCTGTTATTATATGTGGTATATGCATTTATTTCTATGTGTGTGTGTGTGTGTGTGTGTGTGTGTGAATCTATATATAAGTTTTATATTATGTTTCATTTCCTTAACAACTTATTTCTCCATTTCTGTTTCTAGAAAAAAATAGCAAGTAGTCTGTTTGGTTGGACACAATTAATGTTTATCTGTACAGTTGTGTCTGAATCTCTTTACACATGACTGGCCATTTATCTATGTCTGAGAGAAAGAGAAAAAAAAAGAGAGAGAGAGAGAGAGAGAGAGAGTGGTCTAACTATTATTTTATTTATTTTCCACTACATATATAGATTTTTGTACCCAAATTCACACACACACACACACACACATGCTTTTATATGTGATGAAAATATAGTGTTATGGTATGTTATATTCATGGATTAAAGTGCTCAATATCAGGGATAGAATGTATGCAAATATGAATATAAAAGTGGATATTGAGATCAACATCCAGCACCGACAGTCTTTTTCATACTTAAATGCAATTGTTAGGCTATTATCATAGAATAAAGATTTTATTAACTTCATCCTGGCACAGAGTACTACATTTCAAATGTAAATATACATGTCTCATATACAAATGATACCAAATTTAGTATAGTTTGTAACTATATGTAAGTTGTATTCATTTTAAACTCTTAAAATATTGTCTGAGTGAGGACACAGAACTTTGGAGTAAAGACATTAAATTTTTTATGTGAATTTTAAAATGTTCTTCCTGGTGGTGAAATATATTGGTCACAATATGTTTTGTTCCTTTTGTATAATGATAATTTTGGTCATAATGTTTTCTATTTCTTTTGTATAATGATAATTTTGGTCATAATGTCTTCTATTTCTTTTGTATAATGATAGTTTTAAGTAAAGAAAAACTCAAAATGATCAAATCCCTATAAGCTTTCAGTGTCAATTGAAACTGCAAAAAACATGTAGCATGGTTATAGTTCTCGTCAAGCAATACAAAGAAGTCAATAATATCATAGGTTATGAAAAAGCTAATGTATAATTAAAATAAAAATTTACATTTGGATTTGAACCATGTATGATTTATCCGTTGTATAAAATAGTCTATAAAGCTGATGATATGTTAATCATAATGATTTTTATTCATACTTATGATTTTTATTCATACTTATGATTTTTATTTTTACTTAGATTAATTAAAATTTAGTGGACATAACTGACTTGAACCACATGGAATGATAAGGGCTAGTTGCATTCTCAAGGGACTGCAGCACCATACAATTATTACAATGCCACAAACAAATGGGGTGTATTCTCATAATGTCCTGAAAAAGAGGGGGAGAGAATAACAACAACACATCTAAAGGGAATGTAGAGTTATCTCAATAAAAAGAGCTTTTGTTCGTGTTAACAATGGCATCACTTTCACACTGAGTTTGTTAATTGATAGAAGGGAACAGTATATAGGATTTCATGAGCAAGCTGTTAAAAAAAAAAATGAAAAACTAGTTATCTCAAATTGAATACTGAAAAGAAATAATTGAAGAAACATAGCACTGTTTGAAGATTATAATATTTATTTATATATTAGGTCTTGTTGCTTAAAAGTAATAGCCATGTGTCAAGTTTGATGTAAATCATCCTAATACTTTGATTATTGAAATATGGCAAAGGTATGCTGTTTGGAAAGTTACTTCACTGCTAGACAATTTTTCTCAAAAGAATCTATCTTACATATTTATAAGACTACAATTCATCATTGTTTTGAATATTGCTGCAATACATAGTCTGGTACTCCTGCTATATATTTAGAGATTCTTGATAAAATCCAAAGAAGAATGTAACATAGCTTCCCTGTACATTTTCTATAAATACTTTCTTGGTAATTGTTCTGATGAACTTTCCTCTATGGTACCTAGACTTTATGAATTTAAGCACAGTACTAGATTGGTAGCAAGGTTTCATCATTTTATAGTTGAAATGACTAAATGGAACCATAAGTTCTATGTTCACAGTTTTTTCTCTTGTACTTCTCACTTGTGGGATTCTCTTCCAACTTTTTACTTCCCAGTCAAGTTTGATCTATATTACAACAGTGGGAAAGTGACTAAAGCCGAGATACCAGGTCAAGACCAATAACATTTCAAATTGTTCTTTGGATTTTATCTAGAATCTCTAAATATATAGCAGGGACACCAGACCATATGTGGCCACAATGTTCAAAGCATGCATAAATGGTAGAATTATAAATATATAAAAATCGTCTAATGATAATGGTACAAAGAACCAATTTTCCTAGCAGCAGATGTAGAAATTGATTAGAAATGAATACATATTAAATATAATAAAAAATATATTTGAATAAAAATAAAAGGATGTACATAAAAAGAAAAAATAGAAATAAAACCAGACACACTTTTGTCAGATTTTAGATTTGATAAT